TATATGGAAATGAAGAACAATTTATTGATGTATCAAGTTTGGAAAGCTCTTTAGGAAGCAAACACGTGGAAGCTGATTGGATCACGATTGTAGACTCTATCTTGAATATAAAGTTCAATTTTTTTGGAGATATTGCAGCTTCAATTACTGGTAGTGTCAATGATGCTCGAGTGCTTCTAGGACAAAAACTAAATAGAGAAATGTAAATGGTTTTTTCGCCATTATGTATATGAATTGGTGTTAAAAAGTGTGATCCTGGTAATTCCTGATAGTCCTGATAGTTCACATCTCAAAAACGTCCAAGATAACTGGAAAAGTGTCGATCATAATAAAATACAGAGCCATAGAACAAAGCTAATATCTCCCAAAGTTGGCATATGTTTACATTTCACCAACCTGAACCGACAAAAAAAATTTGGAGAGGCTATCAAAAATTAGTAAACACTTTTAGGTGGAGACAGAAAGGATATTTCAAATTCCTCCTCAGGTGCCATGCATCGTGCTTAATGGATGGGAGAGACATTTATTCCTCCAAAATGTCAATGTATAGTTACGAGCGTCGTTGAAAATTACGAGCGAGGATAAGGCAGCACTGTTAGATGTCTACTTGTACAATCTTGACATCCCACGTCAAGACATCAAAAATATGAATTTTGTCAGTAAATACGCCACATCAAGATGTGTGCTTTCTGAAGTTAATGAAGGCTTACGAAAACGTTGATAAAAGCATCTTGAAGGGACATTTACATAAGCTAAGCCACCATTTATTATATTTGACTGATGAAGTATCTGTCAATATTCTAGTAGTCTTCTAATATTCTTGTCAATATTTGTTGTGTATATGGACCAAGAAGCCAAAGTAAAAATGGTAGTAAATTGAACCAACATAAATGTATCAAACGTTACAAACCAACGAATAAACAACTTTGTGGTCCTTCATAGGAGAAATAATTTTCTATTTGAATCAAAAGCTATTTATTATTTCAATGTCTTAAAATTAATGACAGTTTTCTCTCAGCTGGTCCTACTTTTTGGTCAAATAACGCTTAGTTTGAATAAGCTAGAAAGAAGGTTTCAACGCTTAGATCAGATGAATGATTCAGCTGATAGAGCGGTCAAGTTGATTATTTCCTGGTTTAATTACTGTTAGAGAGGATCAAAAGCCGTTTTATAACGTTGCATACAAGATCATTAAAATGTTTATCTTGAGTGTAAATGCAAACTTAGAGAATAAAATTTACAATCTAATATTTTCTAAATATTAAATATATTTGATTTTTACACATGTGCATTATTTACCAAAAAACACTGAGATTTAGAATCTTTCCTTGTTAACTGAAGGTTAACCTTGTTAACCTTGTAAACTTGTATCAATGTTTAAGTTTAATGTTTTCCATGAAGTCAGCACTAAACTAGTCTTTCACAATCGCAATAATATTTATTACTCAAGTTTTTGAAATCAGAAAAAATATAAAGATTTTGCGTATCTGATTTTACGAAAAACATTTTTTCTCTTATGTCGTGGGACACCCTTATGTTCACGGACGGACGTGTTCCTGTAAAACTAATTTGTTGTCAATGATACAAAAACACATGTATTAGAGGATGTTATTACATATTGGAGCAAAAATTATTCACTTTTTATTATGGGCACAAAAGTCAATTGCTTCGGTCAAAAATTGCCGTGCCGTGCAAAAAATGCTCTTGCTTTACAATTTTACTACGTCTCTAGTATACAGAATTAACTTGTGGCGGTAGTATGGCTCAGACTGAATCAAACTAGTGAGTGTCCCATTTTCTTTTGTCTGCACTAGCTTGGCAGGTTAGCCCCATCCTCTTCTCAGTTGCTATCTATTGTCACCTAAAAGAAATTTTGTCTCAATATTTGTTTCCCTATTAATGGAATTGAAATATGCATTTACGAATATCATAGAAGAGTAAATACTGTTTCAGTAAATACATAAATATACATGATCACCTTTTTGTTTGCTTCATTTATACAAATAATGAAAAAGGTTTTAATTATTTTTATTCAGATTGTTAAAAATCAAAGATTCGACAATTTCTGGATATTACCTTCATCACGATCTGAAATTTATGACATATACAACAAACACAATCGTTAAATATTGAATTATGAACCTCTTACTAACCTTAATATAATAAAACATTCACATTGCCACATTCAGACGTTGTAACGGTGTGCAATGTTAAACTAGGGAACTAATGTCGAAAATTCAAAAATAAGCTATTATATAATTTTAAGAATATTTTTCTAATAAACTTCTTGAATATTCCGAATGGCTAAGTCGCTGTAAGCACTCAAAAGTTGGTGAGCAAAAATGCTTTCTAGGCAAAAATGTTCATTAAAAAATCAAGGAAATACCCCAGAAACATGTAAATTGTTTATTATTTACGAAAGAAATGATCCATTCGTAATATCCACGTAGTTTATTGGACAAAATATACTTAAAATTGAGCCTATTTTTGAATTTTGGACGTTTCCTTGCCGCGCACCCCGATGCTGTCCCCGCCCCGACGGGTTGCTCACTGCGACAACGTGGCTCTTCCACAGCCACCCTCCCACTTGCAACAGAGTAGGAAAACACCCCACCTCTGCGACTCCCGTCCCAAGAAGTAAAGAAGTCATTCGACCTCATCAAGCCGTTCCTCGCGTACTTGTCACCCGCGTTGTCGTGAAATCATCAGACATATGACAGACTTGCTTTTGTTAATGTAATTGTTGGTACAAATTTCAATTTCAAAGTATTAAAAATTGGTTATTTTCAACTTTTTATTAAGTTCTAGTAAACGTAAACGACAGTAAATGATTAAAATTGGTATGAAACGCTAATTCCTGATATTTGGTTCTGAGAAAACTAGGACAGAATAGACCTTCATCGTCACAATTTCTGAGCAGAAAGTGTTGTCTCCAGTCTACACTAGAGCTCACTGGTGTAAATTTACGGTCATTATTATCCCTTCCACCGTGGGGTGGTGTTTGGTATATGGTAATTTTTTCAAAAACTTGAGAAATTTGTGTATCATAAGCCTCTGGACTACGGTTCTTTAATCAAAATTGCTGAAACGTTCGAGTTTTCGGACAGAGACTGATTTTGTTCACAACAACACAGTCAGCAAATGGCGGCTATGACGCTCTATCAAGAGTTCTAGGATCTTAAAATCTCACTTTTTGGGCAAAAGTTGCTTTTTTTAAATAAAACTTCAATTATTTTTAGAGTACTTTGTTGTTAAGAATTGAACAAACTGTGAAATGAAGCTCATTCTGAACGCCGTGAATGGCAGAATGTGTAAAAGGATCCGCAGGAGCGATCATTGAGACGCGCAGAAGTTGCCCCAAGCGGAGGACTCGCGCGCGCAGTGAGGAAGCGCCGCCGAGCGGTCGACGCTCGATGACAATCGACGGCTGCGGAGGCGCTCGAGCGGCTCGAGGGATTGAACGAGGGTGGCTACTCGCCCACAGCGCTCTTTTGGGTCCGAAGCTCGGCTCACCGCATCGCTTGATAATGTCCAATTGTAGGAAGTTTTCTTACGATACTTACTTAGTAAATTACTGTTATGTGAGTCGTAGAGAAAACAGCTCTAGGATATTTATTTATGCTGAAGTGTTTTAAATAAAACAAATTCTACTTAAAGTGTCTGGAGCCGAGATGGGCAAATCGCATCCAACGCTAGCATTATAGAGCCCAGCCCAGAGGTTAAGCCGAAGGCGCCTAGGCGAGTGGGAGCGGGGTCGGAGGTCGGCGTGGCGTCAGCGGGTGACATTTGTGCCTCGCGAAGGACGCGCCGCGGGTGCGGTGTTGGCCGCGCCTCGGCCGCCCCTGCGATCGGTCGCGCGGCCCTCGTGGCGCAACGCTTCCTCGCGTCTACACGTGCGTCGCTGGCAAACTAAAGCGAACACTAGATTTACGTCCTACAGTTTTCACAGTTTTCGGTCCAATACCGATACTTTTCATGAGGTGAAATTGCGACACAGGGCCTCAAAAATGAGGGCCGAAGAGCTCAGCTGATACGACGCTCAAACTGCTTCATTTGTCCATTCCGAGGTTGTGTCAACAAGGATAGATTACGTCACTGGGAAAGCTGTTGCTCTTGCGTGAAACTAGGAAACAAGACACGGCCTCATCACATGCCTCTTATGCGCCACAGAGAAGTGCGGTACAATTTATAGGAGAGGAGGCTTAGACTGCCCAGTTTGCGAGGCGCCGTAATATAAAGAAATTCTATGCGGAAAATGTTGGATTCTCTTTAACTAAATGGGGAAAAGTCATCGTTGAAAGTATTAGTAAGTTTTATAAATGTTCATGTAAGGGCATGAGGTGTCTTTTACATACATTTTTAATAATTAGGTAATTTCTATCGTGGAATAAAAAGGAAAATCATCTACTGACATATGATTACATACTAACATTAGATTAACATATGAAAACTGATACTATCGTAGCGTTACCAGAAAAATTTCATTTTCACATTTTGTCAAACGATGAAAATATATGACGGTAATTTAAAAGAGATGTGTCATCACTATAGACAGTTTGTTATCTAAGAATGTAACGAAAGTATTGTTCATGGACTTCTTTAGTCACTAACTACACTAATCTCAAAATGTAGCACTTTACCAAACATTATAATATGAAAAAAAAATTCATTAGCCGATCCGGTGGCCGAGATGACTAATGCACTAGTATCGTAGCGATCTCGGACCGAAGAATCGTGGATTCTGTTGAATTGTGCTCACAGTTATCATACCGTTACACGCAATGGTGGTCGCTAATGACCTAGAAGTTGATACGACCTTAGATTTAAAAAATCATTTATTTTCGGTCATAGTATTGTAGTTTTCGATGTGGAAGAAGAGTGACCCTGGTGTCATGGAAATCCAATGACCTTTTATTCCCCTAATGAATGCCGCAGTAAAAGATGACAGGGAATGAGGAAAGGAAAGGCACCGAAAGAAAAATCACACCAGCAAGTGACTAGCCACTCTGTACTTTTATTATTTTACATACACACACACGTAATCATGGGTAAAGACGAAGAGACGGAAGGGGAGCCTAGGTGCTAGCTGGCGGTGGTCGTGCGATGAGGGGGGGGGGCTACTTCCGGCGGAAGCGGCCGCCGGGGCCGGCCCGCCCGCGCTCGCCCTCGTTCTCCTCGGGGTGCGCGGCGATGTAGTCGAGCGCGCGCAGGATGGCCTCTGGGATGGGCGGCGGCGTGGGCAGGTGCGCGCCCTCCGCGCGGAAGCCGCCCGCGTCCGCCGTGTAGTCGACGCGGTAGAGGATGCCGTCGGGGCCCGTCCACTCGTAGTAGCCCTGCGCCAGCATGGCCTCGGCGTCCGTGCCCGGGTTCTGCAGCGCGCCCTGCTCGCGCGCCCCGATGCCGTTCTCCGTCTCCACGCTGCAACGCAACGCTTGTCAGCCCCCCTCCTTTCGCCACATCGGGACTAACTCGTTCCAATTTGGCGCCTCGCTTCCAACAGCTCGCTCTACCAAGGCATTTTAGGACAAAAGATCGTACATTCCAAACTCCCCACCTCGGAGAGTATAATCTTGCTAAAAAAACGCGCCAATTCTTTCCGAATTAACCAAATACTATTTTTTGTACAAAGCTCCTTCAAGTCGATTTTCAACTGCTTCCGAAAATCACTAATAGGTTGCACCATCACCTGAGTAGCCGCGACTAAAGAGTTGCCTATTGTCAAATTTCCTGGAATACATTTTTTTACGAAATCTGAAAACAGACCCATGTATCAACAAATGGCAAGTAACTTTTTGAGTTCAGGTCAAAAGAAGAAAAATGGTTTATACTGTCAGCGTTTCGGCTTTTATGATGTCTTTATGAGAGTTTTTCTTATTAACTAAGCACATTTAATTTTACAATTACTAGTAGGAGGCGATTGTAAAATTAGCGACGGTTTCGATTTTTTTTGTTTCATTTTGTGTTTTCGTAAAGAACCGTTACCCGTTGCGACCAAACTGTCATTAAGGGTTCAGAAAATTACCGAATTACTAAAATTACCTAAAAGATGAAATAATAACTCTTTACCGAAAAAGTATGAAGAAAAGCACTCTTGTGTATGAGACTTGTTTTGCAGGCATAGACACTAACCCTGTCACGTTGAAATTAACCCACCCTTACATTCCATCGAATGGTTGGAGCTTGAATTTTGACAAATTATTTACGAATCACATTAATGAATCAGTAATTCTAATTTGACTTTTGTATCTCGTAAGAATATATTGCAGTTGTATCGACATACCTATTTTGGGCGCCAGTTTGCATGTTGAATTTCGTCGTGAACATAATGCAAAGAAACTCATAAGGAAGACTTTAAAAAGAAATATAAAAAAGTATTTAATAACAAGTAGACCTTTCTGGTCAGAATATATCATTTTTAACTATTTCCTGTCAATAATGTATTATTGTTTTGTACTCATATGATTTCTTCTTTTCTATTGTTGCTATGCAATTTCAAGTTAGTTTGCCTATACTTGTAAAAATTATACATTAACGAGAAACCTCAATAAGTTCATGAGTTTAGATCTCTTTACTGCAATCAATATCATAGACTTTCCTCAACACCTAGAATCGTGAAGTGAATAGCTTAGAGAGGAAATGGAAAAATGTGTGCTATATACTTTAGAATAATGTATGAAAGAGTTTGTTCATTGTGAAGTTACGTTAGGAGGAAGGCAGTTCCCAATTCTTTGTAAAAACTAAGTGCATTAAACGGCAATGGACATTTCCAAAATTGAAAGTTCTAAGTGTTCTCGGTCCGTTCTCGTGCTAAACGTGGTTGTCTGAGAGTTCATAAACAATTGTTGGAAAGCCCCACGGCTCGTACTCGCTTGTACGCTGAGCGGCAACTCACTCCCAGAGGTATCCGTTCTGCTCGACGTTGTTGGACTGGCGCAGGATGACCCAGTGGCCGCCCTGGTTGTTCCGGGCCTCCGCGGAGCCCGTGCCGCTGCGCAGGGTGCCGGTGACGGTGATGGGCGCCGGGCGGTCGGCGGCCACGAGTGCCCCCAGGCCGGACGCCCCCGCGCCCGCGCCGCCCCCGCGCGATCCCGCCGCGCAAGCGCCGCCGCGCTGGCCGCCCGGCCCCCGAAGCCGCCTCCTAGGGCATGCAGCCTCCTCCGGCCGCTCCGAGCGCCGGCCTCCAGGCCCGCTGCCCGCGCGCGCGCGAAGCCGCCCGCCCGCCGTCCCGATGCCGCCGCCCAGGCCGTCGCGAAGAGGCCGCGCCCGCCGCGCCCAGGGGCGCGCGGTGGTCGACACGACGACGGCGGTGGGGGCGGGGCGCGGGGCGGTGGGGCGGGGGCGGCGGCGGGCCGCGGGGCGGGGGTCGCGGGGCGGGGGCGCGCGCGGGCGCCGGCAGCGCATTGTTGATGGGCACCGCCTGGGGGCGGCTGATGTCCACGCTGATGGGGTTGTACGGCTTGAACTGGGCCGAAGCCAGGGCGGCCAACGCCGCGAAAACCACCTGCGCAGGCAAATGCAAGCGATTGTTAAACGTACAGCTCGGGTTGTGTCGGTAAAACATATCAACCACAATTCTAATCACACATATTTTTATAACATTAACCATACATGTTTTGGGAAGAGATTTCCCATCATTAGTAGCACTACAGAGAAGAAAATCGTATGTATTTATTATAAGGGAGCAAGCAAGAAAATTAAAATAATTAATTGTGTAAATAGGAATAGTTGAGACATGGTGAAATTAGATACTTATCCAAGAATCTTAATTCACTTAATTAAATAACTTTAAATCTAATTATGGCTTGTATATCTTTTATTTGTTTAAAATATGAATTACCACAAAATGTCTGCTGCCACTAAGAAATTTGTAGAACTTAGTTACTAGTCGTTGCATTATAATTGTAGTGCATTTATATTTATAAATATTGAGGTTCTAACGGTTGAAGTAGGGCATCACCTCTTGCAAGATTCCCAACTCTGCTTTACTTTGTTGGCCACTACTTGCACTTTGCCTACCCTCAGATTGCCAGAGTGTTTTCTAGAACAGCAGATGGGGCCGGTGGAACAAAGACAATTTACTTCGGTATCGGTCTGGAAGTTGTCGAAGGAACCCAACGGAAACCGCCGCTCAGACTTAGAGGTCTACCTCTAAGTCTGAGCCTTCGCCAGAAACCTCTGCAACTGCGAAGCTTCAGAGTCGCAAACCTCCCCTGCTTCCGCTCTAAACCCAACCACTCCTCTTCCCCTATTCCCAAAAACGTATATGCATTTATCACCATTTTATTTTAAAACTTCTACTATTTTTGTTTTGCACACACATTTCCTTCACTCAATATGTTTTCTTATCTTGATTGCCATGTTATAGTCTATTGTTTGGTTTGTTCTCTTTATGAATATTCACATGTTTGTATATTCACAAATTGCTCTTTGAACACTCAAATATTAACATTGAGTTTGAATACTAACCCAATGAAGACACTTTAGCCTTGAATAAGACATTTAAATATTGACATATGCAGAGCATTAAACATGTAGGTACTTCTACTATACATTGCAATCAGTAAATTTAAATTAAAAAGAAGATTGGAAATGTTCTGCAAAAAATTACGATGAATTTTATCCTCTTGTATACGGAATAGAGTTCCATTTTTTTAAATGTTCCAGCAATATGTATTTCATGAAATTCTTTCAATATTGAAGATGTATATTTTTTAAGATTTTCGAGACTTTTGAATTTTTTGAAATGTAAAGCGTAATATTTTGACATCTCAGAATTTGTTGTCGTAGCTACGTGATCAACGACGTCATTTACTGATCCCAGATGCGTAGGGTTTCGTGTGTTGGCATGTGGTGAAAGAGAAATACCTACAAAATATTGTAACATGTTGGAAACACTTTCGCGCTAATTACAATTTTTTAAGGCAATAGCGGAAAGCCATTTTCATTTCAACTTTTGAAATTTTAAATTACATACTTTACAGATTAAAATTAGTACTTTTGAGTAGTGTATTACCGTACTATATTCATAATTTCATGCGCGGAGACATATTTTTTTTCTAGTTGAAAACGCTTATGCAGATTAATGCGTCATTATAATATAGCGTAGGCATTACAAATATTGTGAGAGCGCATTACCTGTAGTAGCACCACTAATTAGTTTCTCGCTACCGCTTAAGCAGTAGAGAGAAAGTCATGTAACGCGAGACCAAACGCGAATTTTCGGCATAAAAACTATGATTACATAGACCCTGGTAACGAATACGTGGATACATCCGGTTGCTAAATTTAAAAACAAAATCCTCTAACACGTGGTGTAGCAAGATTTCATGTTTTGTGGAAGCTCGATACCGAAAAAATTGAATGACGGCCTAACGTCTATATATCCGTCTTTCCGCTCGTCTGTTCGCCCGCCTGTCCGCCTAGCGGCTAAACCATTCTGCCAATTATCTCGAAAATTGATATTCCCCAATGGATATGGCTGATGTGGTGAATACTTCAATTTGAAACCGATATTTTAATTTTTGGAGGTACTTCACATCGAACCTCTGCAACATTCTCAAATTTTAAAAAATGGCTCTATCGTTTTTTATTAAATTTTATTTATAGATGTTTTCAATGTTGTAGGTCTCATTTCAAATACCGTCATGAACAATTCTTGGAAAATTTTGGAACTTTTCGCGTAATTTTTCGTGAAAGTACGGGCGAGAAAGTGATATTTTAGCGCCACTAGTTTTTAATTGAATTTGTCCGCCCGCCTGACCGTTCTTCTAGGAACTACACTAAGGCCTAATGCCTCATTTAAAATATTATATCGATATTGTTCAACTTTATGAACTACGCATTTAAAATGCAACTTATTAATTTATGAATGCAGATTGCATCTATTATATTTCACCTCTCAATTTCTTCAATTTCAGCGCAAAAAAAGAACAAACGCAGACATTTGCAGATCACATTGAAAATGTAACGTCTAATGTAAATTATTAAAATACGTCTCCCAATTGAAATAGTTTTCTTATCTCAAATCTTCAATACTCAAATATCTAACATAACGTATTTGTGCCGTATTTACCAAGTTTCAGCCCAAAAGCTTCTAATCCGAGATAGTTATGCGTGATACATTCTTCCGCCCTCCCACCAAATCAAATAGACATCTTGATGTTCGGATACAAAATATCCTTTCCCCTGCACCGATCTTAGCCACCTTTGTAACACCACCGTAATCCTGACGGGCGTGAAAAGTTAAATGGAAAAAATAAAATTTAACATGGATATTATGAGCGAAATTTCGAGATTGTATTGTCGAGGCAATGCCAATAGCAACTCCCGTAAGACCAGGCGCTGCCTGAGTGTACTCACCAAGCTCCTCATGTTGCGACTTGTCCGACTCACTTGACAGGCTGAGACGTTTGCATCCCCACATTTATAGGCGCAGGCGGGCGCCACCCCTGCTCGCCCCGCGCCCGCGCCCGCGCACCCAGGGCCGCCTTGCGACCTCCTCCCGCCCACCCACACACACACACTCACACACTCACACACGCGCGGCCGACTCGCAGAAATAAACGCACGTGGAATGATTTAGGATCGCCAACGTCATTACACGAATCACAAGGCAAGATTTGTTCCTTTTTCGCTGTAGAATCCCGGGAGCAGGGCGATAAACAGGCGAAGAAGATGCCTCTCGGAGAAGGTTAGGGGGGGGGGCTGAAATATGGCAGGGGCGCGGGGAGGCGGTGGCGGTGGCGGTGGCCGGCCTAGAGGTCGCCTGCGAGAAGTGTCACTGCCTGAGGAGTAGGGGCAGCGCCTGTCACCCGGACCTCTCGCAGGAATGGCAGCGGCGGAACCGCGGCTCAGCAAAACCACTGAAAAGGGTTTTCCAGAAAGTAGCAAGCGCACTTCTGAAAAACAACAAATATAATACTCTAACAGAAAAGTTCAACAAATTGAATATGAGTCTCCACGAATACTGCGATAAAATTGTGTAGTGTATATACAGTTCAACAGTTCTTTACGTATAAAGAATATCAAAGAAGTAGTTTTTCCGTAACGCGACATGCGAACAGTAAACATTTAATGGTGGGCGGACTCTTTCTTGAAGCCTTGCTTCCGCATGACGACTGCTGACAACAGCGATAAGCAGAGACACATTAAGTAAGAGAATTTAGGCGATAAGCGCAGTGTACAAACAGGCGGGATTACCATATTCTTCTTTGGAAATCAAACTCCATTTCGAATTTGAAAATCCATAAAAAATTCTTAATTAGTTTTTTTTGTCTTTGTTTTAATTTTGACAAACTATTGCCAAAAATTTGTTTATGGTATTGTTTCAAAAACTTAAACTCAATAAAACAGATGTTTACTATAAATATTTCTAATTTTTATCAATCTTTACCATTTCCCTAACACTCAGGCAGTATAGAGAAAGTTATGTACTGCTTCGGGAAAAAACGGCTACTTTTCGGCAGAAAAACCTTTATTACTGGGCGCTGGTAACGTAAAAGTAGATAAATCCATTTGCTAAATTAAAAAAAGTTCTGGTGTAGCCAAAATCCATTGTCTTGTGAGTTCTTGATCCAGAAAAATCGATTGACGGCAAAACGTTATTCCTGTCCACTAGCAGTTAAAGCGATCAGGAGATTTCCTTCAAAATTATTATTCCCTTATCGATTTGAGTTATACCACAGCCTCTTAAATTTAAAAGCTATGTTTTAATTTTGTGTGGTTCTTCACATAAAGCCCCTGAAATATTCTCAAAATTTAAAAAAATGGCGGCAAATGTTTTAATTAAATTTTAATTCCCGATAACGTAATAGGCGCTTAACACAAACGTATAGTTTCATGTTCATTAAAAACCAAGATTTTTTGAACATTGCAAACATTGTAAAACTTCTCTGCGTCTTCGTACACCTACAACAGGGAATTTTTTTTCTTAATGAAAAGTGTTGATAAGAAACAAAGGTTCAGATAAGGTCAAGTTCAATGTTTTGAAAATATAAGTATGTTTGTGTTATTTGGCATGAAACCTAGTTTCCTGCTTCGAATATCTCGAGCTTCGTTAAAGTAATTTGAGAAATGATTGGAGGCAGCTGGATGCTACGTAAGTTAGAATTTGTATTTTATTTCACAGTTTTTTGTTCGTTTCTTACATGCGAACTTTTTATTATATGTTTTCAAATTAACCTATTAGAAATGATTTAAAATATATTTGATAGTCAATACTTTTTCTGTATTGCAAGAAATGTATTTGTATTCTCGATGCATTGATTATTTTCTTTCGAGCAATTTGCAAACCTTAATTAAAATTAGCCTAACTAGATTTTCTCGCAAAAACTACGGTTTAAATGTAACATGAGAGTAAAATTGAAAACACTGAGTACCATTAATTTGTACAAACTCTTAAC